TTATAGATGCTGTATATTTATCTGACAAGTTGCGTTTCTTTACCACTGTGCCTTGCAGCCAGCTTTTCCTGACAGGCACAAGCCTCTGTTGCTGGCAGAGTGGTCAAGAAGAGGGAAGCCTGGTTTCACAGGGATATTGGAAATGTCACCAAGGTGATATCTCAGGGAACTCTGGTTTGCCATTGCTGTGGCATTTCTCTCCCTGCCTGTCCTCCTGCGAGGAATGGGGGGTGCCGGCTCCTGTTGTTGCTGTGGTTGGTTTTTTCATGGCAAAATGGGGTAGACTCGGGGTGAACTTAATTTTCAGTATTATCAGAGTGCCTCAGGGAGCCCATGGCAAGGACCTCGTGGTGCACCAGCGAAAACCTCCTCTGCGCTCCTGGGCACCACAGCACAGAGAAATAGCTATCCATGGTTATTTCCATGGGCCTAGCAGGCATGATGGACTCAGGTTTTGGGAAAGACTGATAATGGGGTGAACACTAATGAGGGAAAACAAATATGTGGGGAGAAGAAGCTTACATGGACACCGCATTCAGCCCCCACACTGCGGGGCAGTGTCACTGCTCAGACTGCTGCTGTTAAGAGCTGCCTCCACAGTGAGGTTAGTGAGGTTTATTCACTAACCTGTAGTATTTGGGTATGAGAGAGAAATGGAAACTGTCACTTTGGTGTGTTAATAGACAGAAATTTGGACAGGCTGTTCCTGACCAAAGCAAAGAGGAGATGCTCAGATGTGCATCGGTACTTAGTGCACGGCCATGTGTGGCCTTGAGGAAGCTGCATAGAATAGGTTTTCATCACAGCTATCCTTAGACATGCTAAGTAAGCTCACTGTCTTGATTTCCCTCATAGGGAGGAGATAGAGGCTGCTCCTCATGGCTGCCCACCTCAGTTGTGTAAGACAGGATGGTACCACTCACCTCCCATGGCTATGGCCCAGCTTAGGCTGGAGAACACGGTCATGCCCACAGCTCATGTTGGGGGCATCCCAGATGATGGGCTCGTGCCCAGCCTCTTTTTGTCCATCTCTTCTGGCCCTTGACAGTGGTATTTCTGTCTTGCTTGACTGTGCATTCACTTTGCCCTGGGGCCCAGTGCGGCGACTGAATTAAGCGCTCAAGCTCTCTGTACAAGATTCCGTTTATTTCACAAAAGGATCAAACTTATATATGTTTCAACAAAGATCTAGAAAGAACTAACGGCATACGGCCAATACTACTAACGCAGGAGCACATATCTGGCTCAGCTGGGATGTTTGCCAGTCCTCAAAACAGTTGAAGATAAAAACATTCCATACACATACTCGTGACTGTCTTCAGCCACATCTTCCCAGGCCTACACAAGGCCATCCTCCAACCTGACCTTGTAAAACTAGTTCTTCAAAGGCTTGGCAAACATGCAGCACAGCAAATTCTAACATTCACTCTTGAAAACAAACGCCAGGTGTTCCAAGCTGCTCCTACATCCCAGGTCTTAGGGGGCCTGGTTTGAAGGGTTTTTTACCCCTCAGTCCCATAATCTGAAATGTGGATGAGAGCATTGAGCTTGATAATGGAGGTCACGGGGGACTGAGTCTGCCCAGTGCTTTGAAATTCAGATGTGGGTCCTGAAATGCCTAGACTTGGGATAGCATCTCTCTGAAAAAGGAGGAAGCATGGGACTCAGCGGGGTGGTATGGGTGGTAGGGATGGACCCTACACCCCACAGACAGGCAGAGCTTAGGGACAGCTTGATCTGGGGACTGCTCCAGGTTTGTGTGCAGCCTAAACCTCTGGTTTCTGTAGGATGTAGAGTGGCTTGAGCAATGGTACAGCAAGGTACTGCCCTCCATGCTCATTTAAGGGCAGTGGAAAAGTCTGGTGGGGAGCACCTGCAATGTGCACACATGCTCAGACATATCCCACTGACACCAGTACACCCTCTCTTCATTTTATTCTGTCAGTCTCATGGCCTTGTTCAGACATATTTATAAAGCAGAAGTATTTGCCCTGGTGTGTCATGTCAGCTTTTTGTCTGGGACCTGGAAGACCAGTGTATGGGAGCACTCAGAGTGTAAGAAAGAGGCTCATACAAGCCCATTAGAGGATAAACTCATTAGTGAAGACCTGGAACATACTTAATGGTCCCAGCTGCTGGACCCTTCCCTTTCTCTTCCCAGCTGAGATGTGCGAGGGGCATTGCTAAAACACACTGCTGAGCTCCCTGTCAGGGCTGGGACATGAAAGGTAAATGCAGCACTTTGTTAGAAGAACCTCTCAGAGAAAAAAGCTTGTTAAACTGACTCATTTTTTTATCAGCTGAGTGTGTGATTGTGTAGATTTCTGAGGCGGCAGATGTGACAAATGACTCCCTTGACAACCCAAGGCGCAGTTTTTCAGGAGGGAGACAGGGCGCTGATTTGAAGACAGGGCTGGAGGTGATGTCCAGGCAGTGCTGAGCCCTGGCTGGCCATGGGGAGCCCCTTCATGCCACCTGCCCTGGAGCAGCTGGACCAGCAGCCCCTGGGAAACGTGGTCCTCACCTTTGGCAGAGCTTGTTCTTGGTGGTCTGATGGCCATCTTGTGGGCAGCTCACCAAAGCACCACTTCTGCCAGCCAGTCAGCTCTAGGGACAGGCATCACTACACCTAGTGTCCTGCAGAGATGCAGAAAAGGGGGCTAAAATAAATAAATTAAAAAAATTAAAATAAAATAAAATAGAATATAAAATCAAGTGGTTCCTAAAACACCTGGTTTTAGCTTTTCATAAACTAAACCAGACAAGGCAGTTTCAGGCCAGTTCCACACTAGAGAGTTTTGCTGACAGAGGAGGGATGTGATTTTTTTTTAATGATATATTTATATTAGCAAAAAGCCTGGTGAAAATACAGTTACACAGCTATAGGAGCACTTTTGCTGATGCAGCTTATTTGAAACAGGGGAAACTGTATAAAGTACAATACAACAGATGCTTCCTCTGTGCTGGAAGAATTTACTAGACACAAAGCTTTTTGCCAGTGGTGTTCCCAGTTCATTCCCACTGCTCTGCCCCTTTCCTAAAATACCTGCCATCTTCCAGGACAGCTGGTCTCATTCACTGGGTGGGTTTTCCTCCAATATCTGGACATCCATTGGAGTTTGGACTGGGCTCTTTCGCCAAGGCTTTGTCTAGCCCTAGATTGAAAGATGCCCTACAGAGCCCACACTCAACTTCAGTAGCTGCCTCTCTAAGGCTTACCTCACCTCTGAGAGTCTCTTTTGCAGGTCACTTTGGCCATCAAGAAAACAAACGTTTCAGATGTCCAAAGCACCTTCTCTTGAGGTGGACACAATCTACACGGTGTTAGTTAGGGCTTTGTGCATCATTAAAGCCTGAACTTTGTGTTGCCAGCAAAGACCTCGAAAAGTCCCTTTGCTTAATCAATTTCAATATAAAGTAGGCATATTTCTTGCTTTAACGTGTCTACCAGAAAGATATTCCTGTTTTTCTCCCCTATCAGAAATCCACATGTACCCTCCTCAGCCTACTTTTCCTGCCATTTCAGCAGCCTAACTGAAGACAACATAACTCCTCGTTTTCTGCGGGCAGTACATTTTTCATTCATGTGGATAGCTTGACTGCAGGATTGAAAGCTCCTAATATCCTCACTCAATATCCACTGCCTGAAAAATTATTTACATCCAAGGCTAATTTGCCAATTTGCAGGTGCATCTTGGAGAGGGGAATTTTGATCAAACACTGGTTGAAGCAGAACAGGTTGCCTACACCAATGACTTCTTGATGAACAAAAGTGACATAAATCTTCCAATTAGTCAGCCAGAAAAGGGTTGTTGCAAACCAATATTTTGTTCAGCTTTATGTTAACATGTGCATTAAAAATAAATAAATTAAAAGAATCAAACTATTTATTTATTTATTAACATATATTTATTCAAATTGGTTACATCTGCTCTGTAAACTGCTCTGAAAAAACTTCTTGGTTCACACATTTACATAGTGTTTAATGCATGATAAATAAGACATTTATGAATCACGTGCAAATGGCCTGTTTATATACCCAATGTAAACTATGTACATTTCTTCTTTTCTTGGTGTAATGGTGCTGGCCTCTGAACATAAACCTGATCTAGCGGCATCACTCAATGCCCTCTGAGATCTTTCTACCAACTCAGCAATCATTAGTTTGGTCTGTTTTCACCACCATTTTCTGCAGGTGTTTCATTCTGGACTGAAGATCCCCATACTTGGTGTAAGGCCAAGTATAAATAGCCTTCCTCATTCAAAATACAATTATCTACTAGCAGACCATGTCCTGCTTTGACATGAAATACCACCTGCTTGAGCTATCATCTCAGATATTAGTAATCATATAAGTTAACTTTTTGTTTCAAAAACTTTGGGCTTATTTCAAATGAACTTTAAAAATATATTTAAAAACTCATCCAAACTTGTAGGTATGTGTCTGTGAGTGGGTATGAATGACAAATCTCCATTTACAGGCTGTGGCTTCCATTATAACTTGATTTAAAACAACTTACGATGTTAAACATTTTTTTCCTGCAATTTGTTTAGAATTGTGAGGGCTACTAACATGTTATTTTTCATCTGGACTTTATTTCTATATGCTCTCTTTATCCACATTCCTCTTGGATAGCAGTCTAAGCAATGTTGTCATTTCAGTCACTGCAAGCTAACTGCAAAAATTGATGAAAAAAAGCTGATTTGGAAGACTTTGGTGCCTAGATTTTGAGAAGCAGTTAAAGATTTTATACATAACCAAACCTTCTGGGTTTTTGTTTGGTTGGTTGGTTAGTTTTTTAAATTGCCAAATTATTTTCAAGTACTCATTGAAAGTCAGATGCTATTATGGTTTTTCGAGCCAGCCACCTGAAAAGACTAGCAGCTTCTGAAATATGTCACCTCAATGAAATCACCGTTTGTTTTGCATGTGATACTGAGCCATCTTGGCTTTCACATTCCTCCTGAAATATGGTAAGCATCTCTTTATTTTGTTCCAGAAGACAGAAAACTCTTTGTGGGCATGCTCAATAAGCAGCAGTCAGAAGATGACGTGCGCAGGCTATTCGAGGCATTTGGCAACATCGAGGAGTGCACAATCCTACGGGGACCTGATGGCAACAGCAAAGGTAAAGTGGTGGCTTGTGCCAAGCTAGATACACTCTCAGTGTATATATCATCTTCTCGTGTGACAAAGTCACTATGTAGCCGCCAGGACAGCATCTCTTCCATTAGGAGGGGTCACATTTGCCAAGGGAGGCCATTACTTTGCTGGTCACTGTCTGCTTGTGCATGACAGGAAAAAGCTGATTGCACTTAAAAACACATGCCCCTGATGAGCTTTGTCTTGCCATGTGCAAACTGGTGACTATTGTTGTTTGCTCGCAGGGCAGAGCTTTGCCTCTAAACGCTGGGCTTTTATATTCACTCATGATGTGTTCTCCCAACCCAGTTGAACAGGCCAATTCTTTCTTTAAACAAAGCCAAGGTTGCTACTTTACATCTTGACTCACCGACTCCACCATCATCTCTGCTTATTTCTCACCCACCAGCCCCAGGTCTTCCCCTTTTTCACTTGGTCTTTGCATAGATACACACTGGCCAGCGATCGCAATTGCAAGGGTACAGGTGCTGATTTAAATATTACACTCAGTGGACATTTACTGTTTGAAACATACAAATGCTTCATTGCAAAACTAGGTGCCTTACCTCCTCCTGCCACTTTTTGGCATCACTTGTTACCTGGATAGCACAAAGGATCCTCTGCCACAGCTCAGGTGTAAGAATGAGGCTTCTCTCTTCAATAGGAGGGTCATTTTTTTCCCTGTCAGTCTCTAGACAAAGTAACTTCAATTTGAATAGGAAGCCCTCTTCTCTTGACAGTATAATGCGTCCATTAAATATTGATCTGCGTATAATATATCATAAACTGTGCTGGAATGTGCAGCACCAGAGAAGAGACCAGTCCTGCTGACACAGTTCATATCTCACTGGATATTTTGACATGTGACAACATCAACCAGCATATTTTTGCAACAGGGAGGCAAAGAATCCAAATCACAGTGATACACTGGAGAAAGATATTGCTATTCCATAAGATCACTGGCGGCCAAAAAAGACTTCACACCAGCATTACAGGGCAGCTGTTTGATATACGTCAGCAAAGTTCAGCCTTCCTGATATAGATGGCTGAAAATAAACTGTGGGCACCTTTCTTCAATTGTATGGCCACTTTAGTTTCATGACACCCAAAGACGGGGGCTGCCCCACTGGAAAGTGGTAGGCTAGGTTAGCCTAGAAGAGTTCCAACCTTCATAACAGTAGGCAGTTAAGCACTCCATTCACTGAACAAATCAGTAAATTGGCAAAAAGCAAAAACATATGTCTGTCTGCCTCCACCTGGAATTGTACAGAACAAAATCTAATGACAAAGGAGTTAAAGTAATAATAAAAGCAATAATGTCTGAGATCTGTAAGAAACAGATTCCAAAGGAGATCCAACCCACGGACTTGTATTCATACTTGTTTTTTTTTTTTTTTTTTTTTTTTTTTTTTAAACAATTTCATTATAAGTCTGAATCTGAGTGGCAGCTCCATATTGCTAACCAGTTTAATTATTAGTGCTAGCGGGCTGCAGTCTCAGGCTTGCATTTCACTGAGCTGTTCAGGATCAATACTGAGCCTTGACAGAGTTAATATTACCAGCTTCCATTTGCTGGTGCTATTTCCTGAGAATGTGAAGCTCCTAATTTACACACACACAGTTACATACACGCATACACGCACACAGTCAATCCAACAGAAAACTTAAGGCTAGTGCCCTTATCTTAGGAGTCAGTCAGGCAAGCCACAACTCCCACAAAGTTATTTCCAGTCTGTAATGTTTTCCATCTGCTAGAAACCAATATGTGACACACATTGCTTGTGAGCTACTTATTTTGGGTAAAACCCATAAGGCTTTAATTCTACCTAAATTGAGATTTCAGCAGATGGTCTAAGTGCCAGATAGCAATCAGATCCCATAGACTTCAATCCTACCCAACCCATCACGTGAAGCCCCACCAGGCATCCCTATGGTGAGCTTCTAAGTCCTCCAGGTACCTCGATGCAAGCAATGCTCTCAGAAGATACATCCCAGCTTCTGACTTCTGACAGTCCAGTCACAGCCAGAAAGCTGCCTGAACCTTGCCTGAAGCCATGGGTGATGTCCTGAGCCATGAGGCATGCCCTTCAGGGGGGCTACAGAAATACCTCCTGCATGAGTCACTCAGGGGTAGCCATGGTGGCTGGAGCATGTAACCAGGTGGCAGAAGAGCTGGGACTGAAGCATTTCTCTGCCAGAAGGGGAACACAGAGCCTGTCTCTCCTGAGAGAGGTGGGAGAGGAAGGAGCCTTCCTGCACCACTCCCAGTAAAGCTCACCAGCGTGCAGCCAGGAGTCCTCATGTAAGGAAGCTGAAGCGGATCCAGTTAGCAAGCTATCAGGACCGACAGGGTCTACATTGCTGCTCTCTGGAAAGCCTCTTCCCCCCGCCCCCTATTCAGCAGCTGTCTACTTCAGTAACTTAGAAAGTAAAGATTTCCCATGGTAGCAGAAGTTCCACAAGAGGAGTCTTAACACCGTCTGCAATTATAACCATGGGCCCTGACTCTACAGTCACCTCCAAGCTGGCGAGATAGTAAGAGCAGCCCTTGCAGCTCTATAATCTGGAAGTAAGGAAAAAGAAAAACAAAAACCTTAAGCACATGTATCAGCACAGGTTATATATCTCTCTGTGTGTCAAAATCCCTTCAAACTCCAGATTTGCTCCTATCAAAGGGACACCATCATTCTGAGGAGAGTGGCATGACTCACATCCTCAGCTTGTGAGGTCCTGGAGTCAGTTCTGGTGACAATGGGAAGGAAGGAGGTTGTATGCACATTTAGTGTTATGTACAGAAGCCATCCCATTGAACACACAAACAAAAGGGCTAAAATGTTGGGATCTCTGCTATTGCCTTGCCACCACGCACCAGTAAAAGCTGAGTTTTCACTTGTCGTGCTACCTCAAAACATACTGAAAGCAGTAAGAAGAAGCAGTAGGAGGGATCCCATTAGCATCTTGGGCATTAAACAACATAAATGGCTGCTACTTCTTTCATTCCCACCTTTATCCAGCTCCACTGATCCGTCAGAATCCTCAGCACAGGGATGAATTTCACCTGAAGAGAGTGAAGCCTCCAACATGACAGCAACACTGCAGCCAAAAATCCTGCTCTAAATGCAATGGGTGACTGGAGCTGGAAAGCTTTTGTATATTTGCTAATCAGCATCTTCTTTTTAGAGGCAGAAAGTACAAAAGAATCTCTGCAAATAATTAAACACCCTAATTCTGGATTATCTCTGATTAATGAAGAGGAAGGCACAGCATCTCAGGAGCCTGGGAATGCTGGGCTGCGATTATGTCATAATTGATCCCTATTGTTTCCAGCTGAAGTTTATCTATCTCATTTTCTCACGATTGTCTCCTCTCAGCTCCTTATAAATTAGATCCAACTATTAGCAACAATCATTGTGCTTTTCCTGAAATACAGTCTGAGTACAGTGCTGAAAGGGTAATGCAAAGTGAAGGGCTCCTAATGTAAGTTAATTTCATATGTGTGTATTATTTTTAGAAGGGGCTATCACTGCTTTTTTTGGTCTCAATTCCATCAGCTTACAGTGATGATTTTGGGGACCTTTGGGGCTCGTTCTTCTAGCTTGCAAGTGGGGTGTTCTAATGCTTCAGTTTTCATCCTGCACTGTATGGGTCCATAAGGGTATGTGGACTTTCTAAAGATTCTACAAAGGGCATAAAGAAGACCTGTCCCATTGCCAGGACTGGCATCCCCTGCACAGTGATCTGCAGCCCTTCAGGGAAACAGCTAGGGCTTTGCAAATTGATTAAAAACTCAAAAGTCTTTGGTAGTAATAGAAGGGGATGGAAGCCAGAACTTCTCAGATCTCTCCCAATCTGTTCCAAAAACTGCCTTAGCATATGGAAATTACTCTTCCTCTCTCTGAGTCAGTTTGCTTGTAGCTAAGAGCGTTAGCTATACCTTCCCCCACTCTAGTGGTGCATGTGACCCTTTGAAGTGTTGATCACTTCTGCACTCTGGCATATATTCATGACTGCACCTTTCGGCCCTGAAACCTTATGTAAGAGTTCAGTGTGAGATTCCTTGCATGGCAATGCAGGCCAGAGAAGCACTGCCTACATTTCTCTGATGTCCAGAGGAGAACACCTATACAGGTTCTGCAGCTATGAAAGACTGATTCAAATTTTGGTGGTGGCAAGATGGTAACCATCACATGCAGATCTCTCTCCCATCCCTGCTTCTTCATCAGAAACTGCCTCATGCTTTGTCAGACCAAAGCTGCTTGGAGCCAAGACAAGCTCTGAGCAGTCTGTCGTGGAGCTCTACCAGTGATACGATAAGGTACCTTGTGGGTTTGGACTAATCTGAATGCCTTCTGTACATTTGGCCTGTGGTTGCTTGTAACAAGTATGTGTAGCTTTCTGATAACTTTCACACGCTTCCTCACTGTTTCTCATAACCCCAGAGGGAGGAGCATTCAGCATTAAGTCCAATACAAATAAAAGAAAATTCATTTTCACCCAATAAATTGTAAAGTTGTGCAACAGTCTGCTCTGGAAAGCTGTGGAGGTCAAAACATAAGTGGATTCAAAATGTACTTGCTAAGTTTGTGTCCTTCAGTGCCCATTACAAGCAGTGTGGGAATTCTGGATGCAGCTTTGCTTTAAGAGCTCCTCAGGCCACTGATGACTGGACTTTGGAAAGCAATAACCAGGAGCACATTTCCTTGTTATACTTTCTCCACAACCATATTTATGGGCCAGTTCTGAGGACAGGGTACTCAGCTAGATGGACTTTCGTGGTAGCCACATAACTTTTCTTACATTCTTCTTTTTCCTCTTCCAGGGTGTGCATTTGTGAAATACTCTTCACATGCGGAGGCCCAAGCAGCCATCAATGCCTTACATGGCAGCCAGACAATGCCGGTGAGTAGCTCTGTAACACAGGCAAGTGAGGATCGGTCCAGCCTTTGCCGCCCTGTGGCCTGATTGAGGAGGAGGGATGATTTATCTACACTCTGCAACTCATCATCCAGGAAGGACGGATAACAGCTCAGGCATGCAGGGCCTTGGGTGTGCTTAACTCATCAGTGGAAAGGCCAGGATGACACTGTCATTTCACACAGGCGCAGAACCCCAAAGGGTGTTGTGTTCTGTCACCAGCAGTTTTGATGACCTGAAAAAAAGACACATCATTCACAGATGCCAAAAACATTGGGTCAAACTCACCATGAGTGTAACCTTTCTAGTTTCAGAGGGATGAATCCAGTAGAAACTTGTGTCTAAAGGCTTCTTTGTTTTCTCTCCCCAAAGAGTCCCTGCCTGTAGGTGAAGAACTTTTTGCCAGCATTCAGCAGAAAGCAGTGTGTTTGCGTGATGGCACTAGAAGTTGGAGACAAATCACGCGGTGATGGGTGCCTCTCACTGCTACTACAAAAGTGCCTACCTAGGCATAAATGTGGTCCCCTACATCCAACTTTTGAAAGACAGTCAGACCAAATACTGGATCTTCCAGGAAACATTTGAGGGATCATTCCACTTGGACAAATATCTAGTAATATGGGAGTTTGAGCTTGATAGATCAGGAAAGTAGAAACGGAGATGTATTTTCTATGCAAAATGGTATTTGTACACCATCACACAGATCCAGAGGAATGTAAGGCATTCCGCTGTCAGCAAGTAAAGACAATCTGGTCCAACATGTTTTGGTTTATTATAATGGTATATTATTTTTATTACTAATTATTCACAGTGTAAATCATGAAAGGCTAAGAAGCGTGCCGACAACTTGGAAAGGATACAGGAAAGCTCAATAAAAAATATTTAAGAGTGTAAAATCTCCCTCTCAGTAAGAGACTCTAATGTAAATTCATGAATTTATCCAAATAAGTTTAAAGTGGGCCTGGCAGATTGTCTCTAGATCTTTGCAGGGACAAAAATGGAAAATTCTTTACAGGGGAGAAGGTTTCTAAAAGTAGCAAATCATCAAGATCTCATTTTTTGGAACCCCTTCTTAGACAAATTAGCTTAAAAATGGTACATATTTACCAGTGATACTACTGAAAAAAATCTCCTTAAAGATGGGGGGGGGTGTCAGTTTTTTGAAGTATTACAATACTTTTAAGAGTATCTTCCTAAAAGATTCCTTCTAACAAAACCAGATGTTGGGCTTGATGCTGACATCCCCTAGTGGAATATTACAGGCATCTTTCCTGAGACACGTCAAAGAGGTACTTTTAATGACTTTCTTTCAAACTTTGGCCCAAAGTGATAGTGTCTATAAACTGACATCAGGAATTGCAGTTCCATAGGGTGTGGTACCACAAAAAGGTGTAATAAAAAGTCAGCCCTTGTCCCAAAAATCTTGCAAGCTCATGTGACAGAGGTGAGAGGAAGACAGGAGAAAACAGACAAAACCCAAGGAGAGCTGAAGATTTTAATCTAGATCTAGTATACCCAAAATATGCTTATCCTTCCCCAGTCCTTTTCCTTCCTGCTTTCAGCACACTTTAGATAAGAAACACCGACTCATTTCTCGACCACACGGGAGCAAATTTCTGTTCCATCCTGCTGACGTTAACTGAGTTTAGAATGTGCAAAACGATAAAGAATTTGGCCATTTCATGGGTCAGTTTTTTATGGGACCATTTTTCCTGTTTACTTATTTGACTCAAATACCTGTTATAGAAATGTTCTTGAATAACCAGATCTGGGCATCTGAAAAAGCATCACAATTTAACCCTTGCTAGATGCACATCCCAGGCTCACAATCAAGTTTCCGTGGTTGACAAGCTTCCATGAACTGGCTGAACCTCAGCAGCAGTCCACGTACTTACTCTTAGCTCACAGTAAAAGCAAGTAGAAAATTATTAATTTCATCCTCTTCATTACAAGGTAAGTTATGTGACATTGTCTTGTGTCTGCCACGAGCTATGAGCAGGCACACAGGCAGTTACCATGTGCAGACTAGTGAGGACCTGTCGAGTGACTGCCAATTGATCAAGACATGGAGCACACAGTTTTTCCCACAGGGCCTCAAAATTTCTAAGGCTTTTTGAATGAGATGGGCCAAATCCTGCAAGTGATCTCTGTTCCCATTCTCGTTTTCATGGTGCTTCAGGGTGTGCAGCTTCTTTCAGGGCTTGGATGTTCACAGAGAAATGCAGCCACCTCGTGGTGAGATGGCGATGTAGCCCTTGTCCTTGGAAAGGAGTGGTGCATTGCTGCCATCTTCCTTCAGTCCCCCCTCCTATTTCTCTCACCATTAGAACCGGCCTCATTTGTCCGGCTGTGATGCCAACTCAAAGTTGTTCCTGTGGTTCAGCCAATTTAAACGTCTCTTGCCTTGTCCTCGTGTACTACCAACGGGGCATCCATCATCATTCTTGTCAGGTCTCGAGCCGTTCGTTCCTGCGGCAGACTCCTGTTTCTCCACAGCTGTCAGGATTATTGCTCTACTGTGACTTCCTGTTCACACAACATATGTTGCCTAATAGTTTCAAAAGGCAACTTTCTTTTATGAAAGTTTTTTTCGTTTGTTTTTTTTTTAACCTTTCCTTGGACAGGTGCCTGACCACCATCGTCACAAACCCACGTCTTTATGCGAGGCACTTGTTTCTCCTAAGGGCCCACCAAACAGGTTTACAGCTTTCCAATTTTCACACAGTCAATTGCTTTTAAAAATAACATTCCCAAAATCCCCCTACTTTTGATCAGGCCCAAAGTTCCTTCTGACTCTACCTACCAAGAGGCCTTTTGGGGGTCTTTTAAAATCATATTGCCTATCAACTCATCAGCTTTACAACAGTGTTTTACTTCACCTCCATGTCCTCCTTTATGAGACATCATATTTTGCATGTATTTAGAATGTATTTATAACAATTATATGCCCTGTACTTTTAGCTTTGGTTACTCTGTCCTCCTGTGTCTCATACCCATCCATATGGGCACATAAGCAGGTCTCTTCACATGATTCGCACCCCTTCCTCATCCAAGCCTTGTCACTAGCAGCCTTATCCACCAACACAACAAATTCAGCTAGTACTTCTATCGTGACAGCTTGCAGATCTAACTTCTCTACTGCAGGACTGACTCTTGTCCAGACTAAAAGCTTGGCCTGTCTTTCCAGCACCTCCTTGTGGATGTCTAGCTGTCAGATCAAGCTCAATCTGTATAAAACAGAGCTCTTGAACTTTTCCTTCCAAACCCTGTCTCCTCTCTCCTCCGCCTCCATTCTCAGTCACTGTGGACAATATTATCATTCTACCTGTCAGTCGTGCTCCTACCTAGGCATCACCTTCAGCTTGGTTTTCTCCTTCTCTCCATGTCTTCACATCTGGGCAACAGCCAAATGTTGAAGAGTCATTCTGCACAACACATCTAAGATACAGCCTCATCCATCCACCCATGCAGAATACACTTCATCACGCATACCTAAATCGCAGCAGCCTTTATACTACCCAGAAGGTACACAGGGTTAAAAGCTATACTTCTGTTGCACCTTTTTCACCATCATCTCACCCACTAGGGCACCTCAGAATTTCTGTTATGAATTAATTCCTGGAAGGGGTAGAACAGTACTGTTATCTATGTTTTCCGCACAGAGGCGAGAAGAAGTGAAGAGTGTGATTCATTTGATTTAGCTTTAACAGTCTAAAAGTTTGTAAACCATTCTAAACTTCTTCTAGGATTCCTACAGAAAGGAGAGGGAGAGAGATTTCTAGAGATTTGTGCATTCTTCCCTTCATCTAACTGTGCTAGGATGGGCTAAATCACCTTCTGGGCATGCATGTCCCTTTCATTAATTATAATGGAGATCTCCATAATGGCATTAGACTGAATACCTGAGGTGGGACTCATCTCACTTAAATTGAGACATCCAGAAACTAAGGAACTATGTCTGAGGTTGTCATCTAAGTGTTTGTCATCTAAGCGTCTGCTATAATCAATAGAGAGAAATAGATAGCTCTGGAGGAATTTTATTTTACAGAAATAGATTTTGAAACCTGTCAAACCAAAACCCAAACAGAAGTGTGCTTTTTAGCTAATTTTAGGCATTGGATTCCTATGGTCTGCCAGCTCCATAATAGTGGTTCTTCACCTGAAGTACAACTTAGAATGAAAAAGGACCCGTAGTGCTTAAAAACAAAAGCTAAAAACACTTGCTTCCTGCAGATGCCTCAGAGTCTACAATTGCCTTTGCTCACCAGTGATACACCCCTGCCACCCTGAAATCCTTCTGCTGCACTTGTCGCTGCCACAGTAATCTTGCTGGAGCTAAAGATCTAGAGTGACTCTACACCAGCTGACGTTAGCCACCTACAAGTCAAATATTAAAGCTGTTCACTTGGCCTCTTGTCTGATGGCGATTTCTCCCACATAATTCAGACAAGTAATTTAAGATTGCCTGAACGAGCCATGGAGGCATCTGCCTCCCTGCTGAGTGTGCAGCTTAGAGTGGATGCAACTTCATGTCCAATGCAAGGGGACCTGAATCCTGTTCTGGGTGTTGGTGCCCAACTAAAGCAATCTGGGATGCAGAAACCAGGCATCCTGCATCTGAGTCCTCTGACTCCCGATCCATTAGGTGTACTGTGAACTTGCCTAACACACTAATCATCAGCACTGCATTCATTCTATCTCTTTCTTTAATTAATAAAATATAAGGCCATTAAGACTTTCAGAACACTGTAAGGTGGCTTCCCCCACCACACAGGCCAAGTCCTCTTTTGTTTTACTATAGAAGTCTGCAGTAGCTTGGTCAAACCACAGCATTTCTTCTGTATCCAGGCAATAGCATCCCAAGTCTATCTATGCCTGGCTGAACATCTTCCGTGAAAATTACTTTTCAGATGGAATCCTTGGTTTTGTGAAAAGAAAGGAAAATGTGAGACTTGGATACAAATACTGAACAGATGTCTGCCTTT